GTACCCCTTACGTTTTTTTTTTTGGGCGAAAAATTAAGTTTCTCCAATCTTCCCAAAACTCTGGATTCTGATAGAGGGCCATGAGACTTAGACCTGAGTGCAAAAATGGAGGCTCTAGCCCCTTCCAGAGCTGAGATATCGAAACTCAAAAATTCGGCCCGAAAAAAAAACGACAGTGGTACCCCTTACGTTTTTTTTTTTGGGCGAAAAATTAAGTTTCTCCAATCTTCCCAAAACTCTGGATTCTGATAGAGGGCCATGAGACTTAGACCTGAGTGCAAAAATGGAGGCTCTAGCCCCTTCCAGAGCTGAGATATCGAAACTCAAAAATTCGGCCCGAAAAAAAAACGACAGTGGTACCCCTTACGTTTTTTTTTTTGGGCGAAAAATTAAGTTTCTCCAATCTTCCCAAAACTCTGGATTCTGATAGAGGGCCATGAGACTTAGACCTGAGTGCAAAAATGGAGGCTCTAGCCCCTTCCAGAGCTGAGATATCGAAACTCAAAAATTCGGCCCGAAAAAAAAACGACAGTGGTACCCCTTACGTTTTTTTTTTTTGGGCGAAAAATTAAGTTTCTCCAATCTTCCCAAAACTCTGGATTCTGATAGAGGGCCATGAGACTTAGACCTGAGTGCAAAAATGGAGGCTCTAGCCCCTTCCAGAGCTGAGATATCGAAACTCAAAAATTCGGCCCGAAAAAAAAACGACAGTGGTACCCCTTACGTTTTTTTTTTTGGGCGAAAAATTAAGTTTCTCCAATCTTCCCAAAACTCTGGATTCTGATAGAGGGCCATGAGACTTAGACCTGAGTGCAAAAATGGAGGCTCTAGCCCCTTCCAGAGCTGAGATATCGAAACTCAAAAATTCGGCCCGAAAAAAAAACGACAGTGGTACCCCTTACGTTTTTTTTTTTGGGCGAAAAATTAAGTTTCTCCAATCTTCCCAAAACTCTGGATTCTGATAGAGGGCCATGAGACTTAGACCTGAGTGCAAAAATGGAGGCTCTAGCCCCTTCCAGAGCTGAGATATCGAAACTCAAAAATTCGGCCCGAAAAAAAAAACGACAGTGGTACCCCTTACGTTTTTTTTTTTGGGCGAAAAATTAAGTTTCTCCAATCTTCCCAAAACTCTGGATTCTGATAGAGGGCCATGAGACTTAGACCTGAGTGCAAAAATGGAGGCTCTAGCCCCTTCCAGAGCTGAGATATCGAAACTCAAAAATTCGGCCCGAAAAAAAAACGACAGTGGTACCCCTTACGTTTTTTTTTTTTGGCGAAAAATTAAGTTTCTCCAATCTTCCCAAAACTCTGGATTCTGATAGAGGGCCATGAGACTTAGACCTGAGTGCAAAAATGGAGGCTCTAGCCCCTTCCAGAGCTGAGATATCGAAACTCAAAAATTCGGCCCGAAAAAAAAACGACAGTGGTACCCCTTACGTTTTTTTTTTTGGGCGAAAAATTAAGTTTCTCCAATCTTCCCAAAACTCTGGATTCTGATAGAGGGCCATGAGACTTAGACCTGAGTGCAAAAATGGAGGCTCTAGCCCCTTCCAGAGCTGAGATATCGAAACTCAAAAATTCGGCCCGAAAAAAAAACGACAGTGGTACCCCTTACGTTTTTTTTTTTGGGCGAAAAATTAAGTTTCTCCAATCTTCCCAAAACTCTGGATTCTGATAGAGGGCCATGAGACTTAGACCTGAGTGCAAAAATGGAGGCTCTAGCCCCTTCCAGAGCTGAGATATCGAAACTCAAAAATTCGGCCCGAAAAAAAAAACGACAGTGGTACCCCTTACGTTTTTTTTTTGGGGGGGGAAATTAAGTTTCTCCAATCTTCCCAAAACTCTGGATTCTGATAGAGGGCCATGAGACTTAGACCTGAGTGCAAAAATGGAGGCTCTAGCCCCTTCCAGAGCTGAGATATCGAAACTCAAAAATTCGACCCGAAAAAAAAAACGACAGTGGTACCCCTTACGTTTTTTTTTTTTTCGGGCGAAAAATTAAGTTTCTCCAATCTTCCCAAAACTCTGGATTCTGATAGAGGGTCATGAGACTTAGACCTGAGTGCAAAAATGGAGGCTCTAGACCCTTCCAGAGCTGAGATATCGAAACTCAAAAATTCGACCCGAAAAAAAAAAAACGACAGTGGTACCCCTTACGTTTTTTTTTTTTTGGGCGAAAAATTAAGTTTCTCCAATTTTCCCAAAACTCTGGATTCTGATAGAGGGCCATCAGACTTAAACCTGAGTACAAACATGGAGGCTCTAGACCCTTCCAGAGCTGAGATATCGAAACTCAAAAATTCGACACGAAAAAAAAACGACAGTGGTACCCCTTTCGATTTTTTTTTAGGGCGAAAAATTAAGTTTCTCCAATCTTCCCAAAACTCTGGATTCTGATAGAGGGCCATGAGACTTAGACCTGAGAGCAAAAATGGAGGCTCTAGACCCTTCCAGATCTGAGATATCGAAACTCAAAAATTCGACCCAAAAAAAAAAACGACAGTGGTACCCCTTTCGTTTTGTTTTTTTTTTTGGGGCGAAAGATTAAGTTTCTCCAATCTTCCCAAAACTCTGGATTCTGATATAGGGCCATGAGACTTAGACTTGAGTGCAAAAATGGAGGCTCTAGACCCTTCCAGAGCTGAGATATCGAAACTCAAAAATTCGACCCGAAAAAAAAAAACGACAGTTCGTTTTTTTTTTTTCGGGCGAAAAATTAAGTTTCTCCAATCTTCCATGAGACTTAGACCTGAGTGCAAAAATGGAGGCTCTAGACCTGAGTGCAAAAATGGAGTGTCTAGACCCTTCCAGAGCTGAGATATTGAGATCCCACATAGCATTTATGCCAATGAAAGCTTTAGCTTAAGTTCTGTCAGGAAGACTCAATAAGCGTGTCATGTATTACCTCATTCCTATCCAATCAGGTGTTAACAGTCACAGTATAAAAGATTGGTAGTTACACTTGTCTGAGTTCGCAGATGCTGACGTTGCCATTCACCTCCATCCTCCCCAACCACCACCAAGATGGTACCTTCCCCTCCATCCTCCCCATCACCACCACCAGGATGGTCCCTTCCTTACCTCCAGGGGGTTGGCTGCGCCCCCGCCTTCATCTCAGGCGGGACATGCAGATTCGGCTAACCTCGCTTTGCTTGCTAAGCACGGGGCCTATGCCAAAGAACTCATAAATTTATGCTTGCTGAACTGTCAATAAATGTATTCTGCTTTTCAACTTATCTCCCGAGTCTTTCTGGTAGAATTATAAAAATCTCAATATCTCAGCTCTGTTTTGAGAAGATTGGAGAAACTTATTTTTTCGCACCGAAAAAAATGACAGAGGTACCACTGTCGTTTTTTTCGGTGCGAAAAAATAAGTTTTCCCAGCTCATGAGGCTTCTATAGACCATTTCACAAGATGTAAACAACACTGGTCCAGAAGCACTTCCTGTTTCAGTTTTTTAACACTACATAAAAGCTGGGATAAAATACAACCAACAGAACATTTAAAACTGAATAAAAAAGTTAAACAAACATCTTTAAGATGTTTTCTTTACATGTGAAATAAAGAAAACAGTTACAAACTGAAACAGGAAGTGCTTCTGGACCAGTGTTGTTTACATCTTGTGAAATGGTCCATAAATGAAAACAAATGAAAAAAAAAAAACTTATATAATTGCTTTAATTTCATTTCATTTCATTTTTTTTGTCCATTCCAATGGACATCTGGTCAAAACAGGTGTACTTCCCAAAAATGTACCAACATTAAATAAATAAATAAACATACAATTTGTTGGTCTATGCTTTACAGAGTTTCAAGAAGATCAGAGAAACTTTTTTTTTTGCACCGAAAACGTCGACAGGGGTACCCCTTTGAGTTTTTTCGTGTCGAAATTTTGAGTTTCTCGGATCTTCTTGAAACTTTGGATTGGGCCATGAGACTTAGACCTGAGTGCAAATATGGAGGCTCTAGACCCTTCCAGAGCTGAGATATTGAGATTTTTATAATGGCATAAATGCTATCTCAGCTCTGGAAGGGTCTAGAGACTCCATTTTTGCACTCAGGTCTAATTCTCATGGCTGTCTATCAGAATCCAGAGTTTTGAGAAGATTGGAGAAACTACTGTTTTGAAGAACAAAATGAATTGTGCTTAATTTAATATATCAATACTACCTAGGTAACAAGCAGCTTTGTCATAATTACAGCAAAAGCACCAGAACTTGGTTTGAGCCTTTGGAAAAAAAACAGTTAAGAAACCACTGATGTAGACAGACACATATTAGTTACTTTTCTAGTTTTCGTTCAATGTTTTTTAAGGCCAATGACATTTGCCAAAAATAGCTTTATCACACTGTTCTACATTGCAAAATCCAAAATATTCAGATTTCATGATGCCAAGCACCCTATACTAGAGGCAACACAACCCCATAATGCTGAATCTCCTTCAAGTTTGACTTCAGAAAAAGCATTGTCCATAAAAAAAGGTGCCATGCATGAAAAAGAAACACTCTCCTAGAATGATTCTGGCACTGCAGTACATTACTGTTTATACCAGTTCACAAAAACATTGCAAGCTGCAATTTTTGTACCTTGCGCCTTAGCTTAAATCGGTGCCAGGTGATTGTCCTTTCTCCAGCAGACAATCAATTGCTTCAACGCACAGACACATGTTGAAACCCCAACACCCTGTTCTCAGAGATTTTAGGCACACTGATATGCAGTTTAATAATGCAAAGACAAAAGTGGACAGAGAGATTTAGAGATAAGCATGGGGAAATAGAGAATGACAGACGACACATGACAACAGGTTGGTAAAGTTATTACTGCAAATAAAGATTACAGTTTTAACGTTTTACTTCCAGGGTGTATTGACTTCTAGTATTTTTATAATGAGGCAGGCTATTTTTTTTTCCAACCTTAGACAGAGTGCATCAGAGAAAATGAGCAAAATGAGATACAAAGGAGAGTAGAGAAAGAGAAAGAGACAGCAGAGAGGCAGAGGTGAATGTAGAGCGAGAAGAGTTTATTCAGCATGCTACAGGATAAAAGCACAACACCACACCACAGGGACCGTTAAGCACAAGCTTGGTAGAAAAATTAATTTTAATTGTGCCACATCTATACTGGACTTTACATTCCTAAAGATGTAAAAACTCAATTCATGTAGAAAATGTACAGAAGGCCCCCCTCCCCTTTCCACAACCTATACCACAAAAAAACACAGCATTTTTCAGCAGAATTAGTGCGCGACTCTCAAACAATTACAATCACAGACAATTAAGGATCATTTGTATCATGGATCATTTGAGTCATGTCTGTTGGAAAGTCTGATTATTTTTTCTCCATTACTAAAAATATTCCAGAGGTTGAATAAAACGTATCAGTTACCTAACGTAACATCGGTTCTCTCTAGAAGAGGGAACAAATATTGCATAAGTTAGCTTACGTTATGGGAAAGATTCATCTTTTCGAGATATTGAAGCCAAAAAATTATCCTTAATTTTTGTATTCATTTATGCCAATGAAATGAATGCCAATAAATTTTTGTATTCAACACAGTGCAGCAGCCAGCAGACCTAGAGCAGGCTGTCTAGTGTGCTCATTGGCTGCCCTGCGGCAACTGCAGCGGCCTACCACTGAGCCTGGCGTGACGTCACGCCCAGTGAAGGGTGCCCTCATCACATCTTAGCCCGCCAGAATGGGCGTATATAAGCAGGGCTCGGAGGCTGTCTCCTTGGTTTTTATCAACTGATGCGGAAGTCGCTCGTGGTTACGCAATGTTTACGCAATACTCATTCCCTCATTAGGTAACCGATATGTTCCGACCGATACGGAAACCCTTTTTCAACACAGCGCGCGGCAAGCATCCACTTCAAGCGGGGAATAAGGCTGCCAGCAACGCGGGGCGACACAAGTACTTAAGCACTCATAGGGAATACAGAGCGGCGCTGCCGGTCTGTATAAGCATATAGCATATAACCCATATTAATCAGATAGTTCATAATTTGCAAGCCCTGATTTCTCAAGGGGGTGAGAGCCGCATCCATGCACTTTGTAAATGTACAGGGTGCTAAAGACAAGCGAACGACGGGACGGTGTATTGATATACCTGACCGTAAAAGGCGAATCTCAAGAATGGCCTGTGACGGGCCATACTATCTGAATCTTAATATAGGCATCTTTCAGATCGAGAAAGATAAACCAGTCCCACGAGCGAACGTGCGTGGGGATTTTTCAGGTCGTAAGCATTCTCTTTTCACAAGAACTTTGTTCAAATGTCTCAGATCTAAAATAGTTCTGAGGCCTCCGTCCTTCTTAAGTACGAGAAAAATAACGGCTCTAAAATGCTGACTCGCCCAGAGAAGGCGGTACCGGTTCTATGGCCCCTTTTGCACAGCAGCTTCGCTACTTCTGCATGGAGTAGATGTGCTACTTCCACATTCACTGTCTTTAAGGTCCGTGCTCGAAAGCGTAGTGGACGGCGATCGAGGCAACATTTCCTACATTCAACACTTGAGCGGCATTTGCCAGCTTTCATGAGCGCTCGTGAGCAGCATGTTACTTACATTCATGGCCAGGGGCAGAATAGCCTCTGGGTTCCGATCGCGCACTTCGTGGGCTTGAAAAAAACTTAACCAGAGGGTTGGGCGCGGCACGCATGCCCTCTGTAACTGGAATACGGCGGCTCGCTGACAGCGATGGCTGGCTGTTTCACATGTCGTCCCGATTACTTTGAATGGGGAACATTTTGTGATAACTTTGTGATGCACGAGCAGTGCCGGGGGCGAATTGTTTATTAGTACGCGTGAGCACTCATGAGTGGGCACGTAACTTACATTCATAGCCTTTCTGTAAATCGCGAGCAGTCCCGGGGTAAAATGTTTATTAGTAAGCGTGAGCGATTGTGAGCGGGCACATAACTTACATTCATAAACTGACCGATATGAGGCTGTTATGGCCGTGTGGCAGAGCGGCCAGAGAGTAGGCGTGAGCACAGAGTTGTGGGCACATTTCCTACCTCTAACACTCAGGCGGCATTTGCCAGCTTTAAGAGAGTGGGCTTGGTGAGTGTGAGAGACACGGGCGGTATCATGCTTGTGTGTAGGGGTAAACACTGAGATGTGGGCACATTCTCTACACTTAGGACACCAACGGCATGAGCCGTTAACCAGACGTATACCCTTGAGATATCTCTGGGTCGGTGGTTGTGTACAGGCGAGCGGGTACCATTACCGACTCGCTGGCTGCTGAATACACCGCTGCAGTAACCTATTTTTAAGGGGACTGACAGACCGAGATATTTCGATCGAGGTCTGGCCTCGGCGGGACTCAACCATCTTTTCCTTCTTGCTGCCACTGGAAGGACTTCACGTACTCACGTTGCTGAGCTGGAGGCTGAGGAGGCTGATCACATGAGCGGCCTATAGCTGAGCTGGAGCGTCGCTCCTAAAATTAATGGCAGCTGGATCTGGGCCTTTGTCCTCCCCTTCTCGGTGGCGCCGTCCACTCGGGAGAGCGCAGAGGAGAATGGTGCATTCCACGACTTAAGAATACTCCTTGTGGAGTTCCAGAAGAAAAGCCAGGATAGAGCAGCTGTCACCTCGGCATCTCCTTCCTCCTCACATCAGGCAGTTTCCGTGAACGGCTCTTTCATCTTGCGCGGTCCAGCAGAGGGCGGAGTGACAGCTTCGGCATTGAACACCTTGTGTCGAGCCCGCAGGGTTGACATCAGGTGTTCTTTGCAGTGGACGCAGCTTCCTGACAAAAAGCGAGGGCTGCGTGGTCTGGGCCCAGACAGAGAGAGCAGATCACATGATGGTCTCTGGCGCTGGGCGGGGCTCGGCACGAGCCACAGGAAGTGCGAGACATTTTTAGAAAAATGTCTCGTGTTCTTTTAGAAAGGGGTGCGAACACACACAGAATAGAGCTCAGAAAAAGAAAACGTCGCCGGATAGTGTAGCTCGCACGAATGGCGGAAGGCGGCAAAGACAACCGGCTTCTTCAGGCGCTTTCCTAAGCTGGCTTTTCGCTTCCTCAAACGGCGACTTCTCTCAGAATCCAGCGATGCGAAGAGCTTCGCTGAAGAGATGAAAATCAGAGAGACGGTCTCCGAGCCCCGCTTATATACGCTAAGCCGATGAGGGCACGAGTGCCCTTCGTTGGTTGTGACGTCACGCCGGGCACAGTGGTAGGCTGCTATAGTTGCGCAAAGCAGCCAATGAGCAAGCTAGACAGCCTGCTCTAGGTCTGCTAGCTGCTGCACTGCGTTGACAATGAGTACAAAAATTAAGGATAATTTTTTTGCCTTTATATCTTGAAAAGATTAATCTTTCCCGTAGCGTAAGCCGACTTACGCAATACGAGAGAACCACTCGTAACAAAACCATGTGTACAATGCAGAATTATGTAAGACTAAAGGCACATTTACTTTGGTCCCAACAGTCCATACATTAATGTGACATCACAACATCAAACATGGTCTATCTGACACATGCAACTGCTGAGATCCATCAGCACATGCTCTTGATTTTCTTCTAAAAATAGGTAACAGAATTCACTGAAGCAAAAGTGAGTGAGAAATATCAAAGCAGGTACTATACGTCACACACTATGCTCCCCATTGTCATTGTTTTGTTTACCGCAGGTTTCAATCACAAAAAGTACCTGGGGTGCCTGATCAAAGAAAAAAGGGAAAAAAAACTACAAATGCACAAGATAATTTACAACTTGGGAGTATATTCAATCAAATTAAATTAGGTTCAATTCAACAGACCATATAAAATTTAGCTTTTACCTTTGAATCAAAGCAAGCCGACTAGCTTTCAGAGCTAGAAAATTGTTTAAAAAAAATAAAAATTACATGGTGAGGACACAAGAGCTAAGTAAACCATCACTTTCAAAAAACTTCAAAACAACAAAGCAAGGTGATTGTAAAGGTAAAAAAAAATCATCACGCATTAAGTACTTATAATCTGTAATGACAGGAAGAAAAAGATGACGCTATTTTGCTAAGTAAGGCACGTTTTTGTCAATCCATCCTAAAATAGATTAACAGCTGGCCAAACAAACAATAGCAGGAGCAGATACAGAACGAGTGTTCCTTTAACAGGCCATTCTCATTGAAGTGTTTGATATGGTGTTAAGGAATGACTGGTAAAATTGAATTCAACTTGAGGCTCCTGGGGTAGGGCAAAAGGAAATGTGACATAGCACCAGGGAATCCTCAGATGGTGGACTTTGAGAAGGACACCCTCAGGCGGTGACCTCGGCCCATGTCGTAGTTGTGAAGGTCGATGAGAGCCTGAATCGCCTCTTCCACCGTGGACATCTGCAGCAGAGCCATTTTGCGATCTCTATAAGGAAAAAACAAACATGGCGGTTAAAGCGATGACTATGCATGAACAGCTGAGAAATGAAATGCAGAGTGTTCTTACTGGAAAAACTTGAACGCCTTCACTGTACCGCCAGAGTTTGAGAAGAGCAGTCGTAAATCCTCCTCTGTCACATTATCACTGGAGGGGAAACAAGCAGTTATTAGCATTTCCTCAGAGTAAATGGTAAAATGTTATTATGATGCATGAACCAATAAAAAGGAAAACAAATTTTCCTTAGTAGCCACATTTTAATCTCAGACTTGAACTGAAAAACACTGCAAGGGATTAATTGAAAAAGATGGTCAGCAGTTGGTTAAAGATTTATAATTCCAGAACAATTCACAACATGCATTAATACAATGACAATACCTGCAGAAAAAAATGGAAAACCATTCCCATTCATTAGGACTCTACAAGTCTGCAAAGCCACTTTACCGGCAGTTCTTCTAATGATTTTCAGTAATAGGAGGAAGACAGTTCTCTTGCATACTCACGGTATGTTAGAGAGATGAAGTGTAGCTGAAGGGGGGAAGATGTTCTGGAAATTCTTAGACCCAGGCTTCTTGAAGCGATGCAGTGGAGAGCTGGTGAAGTCCTTGGTCAGGCCCTGATCATCTAAGCCCTCCCTAGGCAGCTGTACTGTCTGGTGCTTGGAGAGGGTCACACGAATGATCTTGCCATACATCTTCTGCCCATTCAGATGGCTCATGGCTGAATCACAAAGACACGGATGTGCGCAATGAAATATAAGCACATTACATGGTGTTAATCACAAAATAAACTGTGCATCAGCTTACCTAACTGGGCTTGGTTTCCATCAGACATCTGGATTAGAGCACTGTCCTTCTTATTGTACAGGATCTTCACGCGCTGCACATCACCGTAGACACCTTCGGTTAAGCGACAGGCAGATGGAAGAGGGAGGGAAGGAGGGAGGAGGAGAGGAGTGAACCAGGAAGGACAAGTTAGTGCTTCAGAAGCTCCGGTTCTGACATGAAAGGTGAAGATGATGGTACAAATCTTCCAAATTATCTACACCAATAGTCCAAAACAGTTTTTCTAACAGACACAACACATTTTGATACGCCCTCCAAAAACAAGCTCATGTGATATGGCAAAGTTAAAATCAAAAGCCTACATGCAAAATAATCAACCATGCATTAATATAAGCTGTACATGAAGAGAGACAGATAGAGCAAGATAGAGACAGAGGCTTCAAAAGCCAAGGATAAAAAAAATATATATAAAAAAAAATACTAATAATAATAATTTCATTTGAAATTCGGCATAATAGAACTAGAATTAAACTGGAAAAGTAGGAAACTGTTGATAGACTAGTGCCAGATTATTAACTAACCATTAAATGGTAAATGAAAGAGAAAAACAACTGAAATGAAATTAACAATAGATAAACAAAAAGAGGTAGATTGCTAACGATAACATACCGAAGAGGGTAAACAGACTTTGGGGCGTAACCATCTTTAGAAGGAGAGAAGAGCAAGCAGCATAAGACAGGAAGAGAGAAGAGTCGAGGTAGAGCGGAGATGAACAGATCATCCATAACGGAGGGTGGTTTCCCGTAGAATGGTGAGGTGGTCATGGAGCATGGGTCAAGGCAGTTAATTGGGACAAGTCGGTCCGAGGAGGAACATTTGTTTTGGTTCAGGCACAAAGCATGAATGGGTGGAGGGCGGGGAGACAGGATTGCAGGAGAGAAAGGGCCAACCAATCACAGAGGAGTCAGAAGAGGAGAGGAGAGGAAAAAAGGAGGGGTTGGAAGCAGCGTGGGATAAAAGGGGGGAAAAAAACACAAAAGGAAAATAAGTTGGAAGTTGGGGGGGGTTTGGGGGGGGGGACAAAAATAATATACAGGTCAGTACACAGAAAATGCAGGAGTTTGGTCAGAAAATGGCAGGGTTCTCTTTTTTCTTTCGCTTCCCCCGACTATGTTTAACAGTGCCAAAGGTAGTCACCCGAGACCGAATGTGGGCAGGGCACATTTACTCAAACTAACTGCAGCACAGACACGCTGAGAGGAGGACAAAGCATGCAGAGCAAGTGGAAGGCTTTGGTATGAGAAAGCACTAAGAAACAATAACCAAACAAAACAGCAGCCTATGGTTGTAAAGGGGGAGGGGCCATGCAGCGGGTAGGCATGAAAACCACCTTGCAGAGTTATGGCATCAATAGAGAGCACGTCATGTCGAAAACTCCACAAACCCACAAGTGTTTGGGAAAACAAAAACCATGATGGGGAAATTACTGAGACACTTCAAAAAAGACAGAAATCAAAGTGAGAGAGAGAGTGTGAGAGAAATGAGAGAGGCGGGTGGGGCTACCACATTTCATACCAACTTTGAATAGCTTAGAGAGAGGCAGTGGAGCATCAGGAGAGGAAGAGAGAGATACAGCTTAGAGAGAAAAGACAGTTAGATATTACTTCCAGACAGAGCGCTCGTGAAAAGGTGCGAGAGAGAGAGAGAGAGAGATAAAGAGAGAGGAGAGACAGTGATCAAAATTTGCACAGAGGAGAGACTGCAGAGAGACCCTCCATTTTGACGAAAACCTTACTGAGAATGCTTTCAGTATATTTCTGCAAGTATAAATTTTCACAATAGAGAACAAAGAACTACAGGTTTCAAATCATTTACTACTCACTATCAATTCACTACTAACTGCAAATATACTGAAATAACATTGAACATAATATATGAAATACACTGAGGATGGAAATGGGAACAGGTCAAACTCAATTCAAGACAAAGTCACCTGTTTTATTGTGTGTGACTAAACATATCATTCTGAATCTACTGCACATCAGAAAAGTGACTGAAATTAATTTGAAATCAGCTTCAAAACATCCAGCAAGAGAGCAAAGCCAACATGGGAATGTGATTACAGTGTTTTGTATTAAAAATGTATTTAGTAGGACTGGGTATTGTCACTGATAATTGTTTATAAGGTGCACTGAGACAAACACACTACAGGCTTAACTCATTAATAATAGAGTGCCGAAGTTATGACGTCACTTTGACTAAAAGCTATATATTTTCCCCATAAACTTCTTAAGAACTTTATGGGGCAAGCTCATAAAGAATCTGTGTTCAAAAAAAGAGTTGTGACCCTTAAACGTTTTGTCTATCAAGATAATCTTTAGAAGTCAATCCAAAATGTCTACATTTTGAAACCTATATAAAGTTTAAAAACCACAAGCAGGTTATAACTAGTGTGTATGATGTCATAGATCAAAACGTGAAAATATTTAGAGGCTTCGTTTACCAAACTTTATTTATAGGCGATTTAGCAAAAACTGTCCTACTGCCCTCACTTATGAACTCAGATAGCACGACACGTGAGCGGAAGCGGGATTTGAGGACTGCGTGTGCACAGAAGCATCACCAGGTTTTTGCGTAGTTTATAGTGACAAATGCGTATCCGCTAAACAAAATGTGTACGGGTTGGCAGGTCTGATGATATGATACCATAAATAGGGTTTTTGCAGGGTTTAGTCAGTCAAATTTAAGACTTTTTAAGACCTTTCTATGACCATTATGAATTAAATGTATAAGCTACACGAATTACGGGAAAAAAAAGTCTTTTCAAAAGTCTTTTTTTGACTTTCATTAAAAGTAATAAGTTTCATGATTTAAAGGTTCCATTTTCTTAAGAGTAACAAACTGAAGGCTCCTAAGTATCAGTAACACAGGAACAACACTTAATTATCACGATAATATATCAGTCAATATCGATAATTATCACGATAAATGTCAAATCTTTATTTCTTTCAAGTTTAAAGACAGATTTTTGCTCCCAACTGAAAGTTGTAGAAACCAGAGCATTAATTGTGGTTTTAAACTAGTCTTTATATACTCTGCTCTTTATGCATAAACATTATCGAACATTTATTTATTAACTCATCGATATTGTTTTATAGAAAAAAAAATATATCGTGATAAAGAATGAATGAGCATATCAATTTAAGACGTGGCTAAATGTAATTTATGACCTTCTATGGAAAATCCGGACATGAAATTCCGGAAATCCGTGGAAACCCTGCATAAAAGACCAATTTTAATCAGATTTCTAACTCGGTTAGAATATTTAGATTTTACCCTATAAAAATTGAGGATACAATTTTTACAGACGTCAATGTTTTTGCAAATGAAAAATTAATTTACACCTTACACCTCAAGCTACTGTCAACTAAAATTACTGTAAAATGTGATGCTGGTGCCATCATCTGTAGAGAGTGGCTGCTGCTCACAAATGTTAGTCTAGATTCCTAAGAGAGAAAATTAAACATGTCTTCATTTGAGTTCTAAAAAGTAACATAAGATTTTATGGGTTTGGAATGACATGATAGTGAGAAAATGGTGAAACTTTATAGGTAAACAAACTATCACTTTAATTTTCACACTTGTATATTTCATAATGTTTTGGGCCATTACAGATTAATGAAAGATTTGGAACGATGCGCATATTAAAACACTGAAAGCACAAATGTGTCAGGTACCTGTAGATGTTTAACATTTTTTCACTTAGGCACTGATAATAAGCATGCATTGAAAGCATCATAGGGTTTCAAAGAACTGATATCGGATCTTTCAATTGAAAAACTAGATTAATATGAAAAATCTGTATTTTCACCCAGCCCAGAAAAATATCTTCAAATTAAACAACTTTGAAAATGTTTATGACATCACCAAGAATGCCTCTTTTTTTATGTTGTGATCTTGCAACACAGCGTTTCAAGTATGTCAACACTGCTCTGCTGCTAAATGTCATGAAGGTGATGTTGAGGACCCTTAAACTAAAAATGATCTTAAACAGATGAGGACTGAACATATACAATCGGAGACATACAGTGTACTGGTGACCTGACTGACAAAATGAGAAGACTGTGAACAAAGAGAGTAGGGATATGTTTGTGTGAGGGTGTTTTGTGGAGGTGTACTGACCTCATCGTTGAGGTTGCTGACCAGGAGCACTCCGCCAGGTGTCGAATGTCCGGACAGCGCCACCCTCCCTGCAGCTGCCGCCGCCGCCGCCGCTGCACTCAGAGGGCTGATGGCCCCTACAGAGAAAAAGAAAAAGAAAGGAAAGTCCGTGTAAGGCCACACAACCAAGAAGAGCCAACGGCTCAGCATCTCTGCTAGCATCAGCTAGATCTGCCCTGTGGCCATGCATTCTAACTGTCTGCACCCAACGCACCAAGCACATCCAGTTACCCAGCCAACACCACTCACCTCGGGCAAACCCCCATCCCAGAGTCAATATCTGCCGCCAAGCAGATCGCTATCTGAACCGATTTCACACAGACTGGCGCTCTGGAGCAATATCCGAAAACAAAATAGCTTTTTGGGCCCCTTCTGCTTGCTGTAGTTAGCCGCTCGATAGCCCGTACTCTGCTTTAGCTAAAGGGAACTTGTGTTTGGCAGTTTGGATTGCCAGTCTGTCTGAAATACGGGCCCCTAATTAGTGTGTGTCAATCTATTGCGTCAGGCCCATAATGCAGAATGGAATGGCTTATTGTTGCAGCTTCAGATTTATGCTTTGACAAATAGCGACACTGTTTATGAATACTGCATGTCAAGTCAGGACAAATGGTTGGGGTGGTTTCAACATGAAAGCCCTGCCAATTCTGACAGCACTGGAAAAGTCCCTGTCCTTCAGAGGGAAGAGCGCATTCAAGTAGGGTTAGAAAATCAAAAGGATAAAGGAAAGTAAAAGGAAGCATAGGTACCTAGAGAAGATGGAAACCCTCCACCACTAGAGTAGGAAGTTACCATTCCAGAGGGAGTACCTAAGGAGAACGTGTACAGTCAAAGTCTTACGAGATCAAACACAGACTGGGGGCCGTGGAAGCGGCATAAACGTAAAGCAACGTTTTTGAATGGCACATCAATTAGACGGGATTGCATTGACCCATTTTCCACAAAGAACTAGAAAACTCTCATGATTCACAATAGAGGGGAAGCATTCACACCTCAACCCTGCTCTGAAACTAAAGCTATACAGACAGAAGATGATGATGCATGTCAGAGAATGACAGGGAAGATGGGTCTTAAAGGTGTGATTGAGCAACGCTTGCATTAGAGGCACACACGAGAGCCGTTTCTAACATACCGAGCAGTGAGGTGGAATCTTTGCTGAGAGCGGCGGCCACAGACGGGTCCACAGGTGGTTGGCCATCTCCCGCGGGCAGCTCGGGACGGGTATAATCCCGGCTTTTGTCGTTGTTGTATTTTACGTTCAGGTTGACCAGCTTGGAGAAGTCAATGCGCAAAGTGCAGCAGGAGTTGTATATGTTCTGGCCATCCAAAGACTTTAATGAAAGAGAGATGCAGGATGAGAGAGAGACAGTGCACCACGTTTGTTATTCTATGACAAGAGTGAAAAGGGATAAGAATAATTACATCCAGCGCATAATGTAGGGCCCTGGCTAAAAGCAATAAAAACGCTCCTCTACAAGTAATGACAACTGAAGTCATTTCATCACATAAATGAAAGAAAGGTACTAAACCAACATATGACTGGATCATAATTTGCCTGTGGCCATAACCATTACATTAAAAATCTCATAACAGTGCTTTGGCACATCATTACACATTTATGGAGTTTGCGGTAGTTTCAATCCTCCTCTTCGTCCACTCACCAGTTTGGCCTGCTGGGCATTTACGGGGTCACTGAACTGCAGAAGAGCTTGGAACTGATTGTTTTTGGTGAATGTGATAATCTTCATGACGGTTCCAAACTTGGAGAAGATCTAAGAGAGATCAGGGCAAAGTCATGTTAATTCAGAGGCATGAGAGTGCAAAAAATACATTTGGCTTGTTTTTTTTTTTAACTGCAGTTTATTCCAGATGGATGCCTGATGTGGGCAGTGACCTGTTGGAGGACGTCCAGAGTGACTGGGTAGAACATGTTGTCGATGATTATTCGTAGTACTGGGCTGGGGGCAGGTGTTAACACACTCTCACCGGCCGTGTCTGAGCTTGGAGAGCCGCCTTCCTGGACTGCCGACACCGCCTGCAGCACAGCCTGAGCTCGCTTCAGAAGGAAACCAAGGGAACAGATTAGGACAGGAGCAATGCCAGTTACACACTTCCGTTGCTGCTATATTTTAGGTATGAAAGGTATTAAAACGTGTTTTCTAACCTGGTTGAGCGCACTGTCAGTCTTGAGCTCTTTGTGGTTGGAATACTGAATGAACACTGGGACATTACGCACTTGAGGTGTAACAGCTGTGTAGTAGTTCACCATGGTAACAGCTGCTTCCTCTGTTCCCAGCTCCAAAAATGCCTAAATGTGGGAAAGTGTTCAAAATGAAGAAACAGGTGTTTTTCTTCAATGGCTGAGCAAAAACTCCACTTAAAAGCGGCTTCAAGCAAAACATTTTAAGCACTAAACAGGACCTGGGTTTAATGTTTCTCATCACCACCACCACCCATCACATACCTGATTTTTGCCTTTAAGCATCAGGATATTAGTGACCTTTCCAAAGGGCAATCCCAGGGCGATGACCTCCGTCTCGGAAACCTCATTGGGGAGTTTCCGAATATGAATGACTCTAGACGGTGGGCTATCCATGCTGTCCTCCACCCTCAGTTTCTTACTGTCACCTCCATTAGCTGTCAAATAATCAGAAATACAGCTGCACTCCATAAGCTGGCTTTTATTTGGTTTGATCAGGTTTATGAGACATTTAATAATAAAAGACCATTTGAACTATATATTATTTTTTGCCAATAACTGGGGAAATTATCGACAAATACAGGCAGTGTATTATACAGCTTGTTTTATTCGAGATCATCTGCTGTAAGCAAAAATATGGTATTTCCTGTATTCTGTTTGTATTTCATTCATAAGTGAAAATGTGGTAAACATGTGACATCTGTATACCACCTAAAGTCCATTCACACAGGATTTGTTCTTGTATTTTGCTTGCACTCCTCATAATCATTGACCTGTGTATGTCAGGTGAAACGTATTGGCCATTTTACTATCCCTTTAAAATAAGGTCAGTCATATCAAATTATGTTTTATGATTCTGTTCAAATTCAAGTTTTCTGGATTTCATTTTAATGGTTTAATTCAATTTGAATAAGCAAAAAGCATCTCTAATTAAATTAATAAAAAAACAACTACATGTATTCATATTTTTTTTTAAATCTATGAAAATAAAAATGTACAAGTCCTCAGCAATTTAAAAAAAAAAAGTCTGTTAAGAGTTATGTCCATTATAAAGTCCAGAGGCTGGATTCACATTTAGAAAATAAAAATAAAATGGCAAATTAAAAGTTCTAGACAACTATAAGTAACCCTAAGTGTGTAGAAATGTTTTGTATCTAAAATCTGTGGTGTTATACTAATCTGAATCCCATTAGTTTCACTAATCAATTTCACACACACACAAAACATCTTTAAAAACCAGCCAAACATTTTTTTATACAAAAGCTGATGTCCTTTTATTTCTCTTACCAGTGACTGAAGAGTTTGGACTGTACAGACTGCCAGACAGCAATTCATCTGAGCTTCTCTAGAAAGACACAGATGTACACTGCAAATTCAGTAAATCATTCAAAGGATTAAAATGTAGTATTTACTCATACAATTGCTATTTGTATCTATTGTTCACATCAGAGATCAACCCAAGATAATATGGGCCTCTGCGGGTTTACTTTACTAACGTTACTCAGATTTGTTTTGATAAATTCAGTAAACTTAACCCCTCCCTTCGTGGCAAAAACCACTTACCTTCACACCTACTGCAACATCGCTTGCAATGCTGAAGGGAGAAAACAGAAAAAGTACAATAAATTTGGACCGTTTGATCTGTTACAGTTTCACTAAATCAAATACACGTCACTCACAATACAAGATAATGTCATTAGTACAGCCACAATATCATAACAGTAACGTTAAAACATAAAACAATTTAATGCGGACAGTAAGTTAGTATTGGCAGCAGTTTGTTATAATACGCCGCATAAAGCTCACAGAAAAAAATACTTGTGCGCCGTATTATAGCAATATTCATTAACGACAAATTTATATTCAGCTCGCGGATGCAGTGAGTGACCGTTACATTCAAACAAAGGGGATCGGACGCGCCCGCACGCGCAACACCAGTACCGTTAGCCGCGGAGCTATGTAACTACATTACATATCCCCGTTGATAATACAACACGAACCATTTTATAGACTGATATTAAATGACACAGAATGTTCTTATTTTATTTCTTGTGCATACATATTGCATCTATTTACGATAAAATATGATCTACAGAGCTAGCCCGCATTTTTTATTATTAGCCAATGTTGCCTGATGCATCACCAGTCTCGTGAGCGGCCTTGCCAGAACGCAAACGATTACGACTAACCTTGCTTCAAAACGATTTAAAGATACTCATAAAATGGCATATTTCACATAATATGTAAACAACGCAGTCTTACCCGTCCATTGCAGGGAAAAACGGTCTTCACAGTGTGATACTGATCGCAGGAGTAGAGAGCCTTCGACACACGCTTGGAACTAGTACGCAAAATGGAGATGAGTCTGTTATTCACGGAATCACCCGAGCACAGCCGAGGCACCGCCGAACCGACGAGCAGACGCTCACAGCTATCTGGATTACAAGTTCATCATCAAAACGACAAGAAAGTCAAAAATATTAGAGTGTTTTTTTTTTTTTTTTTGCAGCACAGACAGCTGCATTATCATTAACAGGGGCTCCCATTGTTATGAAAAACGTAGAAATATTATAGGCTATATAATTATTAAAATGTGTTATTTCCAGGCTTTAAAATATGCAAATTTAATAATTTCTAACAATATTATGTGAAAGCCATTGGACATTTCATTAGTGAATGTACATTTCTCTGGTTCAGCTCTGAAAGCCTTTTGTTGTATAGCCTATTTATAAGGCACAATTTATTATAAAACCGAATATAGCCTAAAAAGTAGGTAGATTGATTTGGAGAATACTGGGTCATAAAACTCTATGCTCTTCGAAAAAAAAAAAAATAATGCAAAATTTAATTCAACATAAAACAACATGAGAAACTTAACCGGATGACGTATCAACAGTCTGGTATCGACTATGAAAAGGTCAGCTACTGTACTTGGTTCAGACTCACTCAATTATATTTTCTTGTCCCCAACATTTTGTTTTAGCGCCCTGGATAAAATATTAAACTCACTTAAAGCTGCAGTCCGTAGCTTTTGGGGGGTTAAAAATTATCCAAAATACATATTTGAGAAAATACATAACCAGCCAGTGTTCAAAACTATCTGCTTGCCTTAGCTCGATTCAAAGCGGTAAGTTTGTAATAATGTTTTTAATTCCAGTGGTACTGGTGGATTTCCATGGGAGATTCGAGCTTGTCTTTGCATCATTACTTCACGTCTGTACACATAAAGAAGGAGTCTCAGCTAGGCTATATTGCGAGTGAGGATGTTGGAGGTGAAGATTTATAGCCTTTTCTAACAGCACTTGATATAATTAAACATATGGTGGATCCATAAAGGTTCAAATGACAATCACCAGTAACAAAAGATTAAAGGTAAAGCCTATTAGTGCATGAGACATTTTATATAAATATTTTTTTTTTTTTACTTATTATCATCAGTACATTATTCTAATGTACAATGTTTATTGCATTATTTTAGCATCATGTTACGCTGATATTGTGTATGACTCTGTGCACCATCTTACAAGTATTTGTCATGTTTAATGAACCGGCCACTTACAGTGAACTCTGATTGATCATGTGGCTTTCTATCACTTGTATAACAATTGTGTTTATCAGAACATTTTAGGGTAAACAAGCAGATTTACGTTCAATCGGTATAACTTATCCAATAGCATTGTCACCATATCATTTCCACTGAAACAGCTCTGGGGGTAAATTTAACAGGATATTTTTGGACACTTCTATGGTAATAATATGAAACATTAAAATAAGTGGATTCAACAATCAACTTTGTTTTTGACCCTTTGTGTTTTGCTCAACAGTAGCAGCTCAGTGACCCTTTAAACGACGTTGCAGATTGCCGTAAGATCATCACACTTCACTGTTCGGAGAGCCCACAGGGAAAAAGCAATCATTCGCTGGACGGAGGGTGCCAGGCGGCTTCAACTGACCACCGATGAAAAGATGTTTACTACAAATTTCTGCACCAAATGTAACAGCTTGGCCTGAGCATCATTATATAGCATGTATTGATTTCCAATACGCAGCACATGTGACTGTTGCCTCTGGGGCCTTGGTCACCATCAAGTGAATTGGGAACTTGCAGTCCTTTGTCACTGAATCAGATTATTGATGAGAGAAGTGGGCCTTCTGGCTATAGTGTTTCATGTAACCTTTACCTAACCCTCCTCTGCTTGTCCAACACCAGTCTGTGGAAAACTGCCAGTCCTAGCGGGTGTCCACTATTTCTGTGAACCCTGCAGAAACTGAGCAGAGCTAATGCTATTGGTAAGAGGTCACAGTGTGAATATACATGACTGTGTTTGCCGTTAGGTTTGCTGCAGGGCTCGATCTGCCATGTTTACCTGTTATAGTGTTTCCTTAATTATTCAAACAGCGCTGTGTATCTCATTTAGCTTGAACTAAGGTGGACTGCTCAATCCGGTGAACCCGCTGACCCCTCTGTAATCACTACAATCTGTTTACCTCTGTTGATTAACCCCTTCAGACCTGAATTATGTTGCAAGTTTATGAAAAATATAAAAGTACATTTTCCCAGCTCATGAGACTTCTCTTCTTGTAAAAAAAATGTTTTGTCCATTTCAATGAACATGCAGATCAAAACAGGTGTACTTCTCAAAAATGTACCAACATCAAATAAATTAATAAACATAAAAATCGTTGTTCTATACTGTAAGCTTTTTTTCAAGGTTTTTCACCATTTCCACTTTAATTTTGAGGGTAAATATATATATTTTTAATTATTTTCTAAATATATTCAAATCAATCAATATGATCATATTACAGTCATTTTCTGTGTGCATCTTTCTTTTTTAGATCAAAAACTTGAACATTATAACATTTCAATTTTGGCTTTTGCTTCATATCACAAATTTGTTTATTGAGGGATATGAAATTTAAATTTAAACAAAAATTTAAATTAGCCCATGATTTACTCACCCTCAAGCCATCCTAGGTGTATATGACATTCTTCTTTCGAATACAATCAGAGAGAGTTATTTTGTAAAATGATCAAAACGTGATTTCAGTAAAAGGCTTTCGAACCCACTGTCCATTCTAATGGACAGACACAATTGAAAAAATCTTTTTTTTTTTTTTTAAAAATCTGATTTAAAACGTGCAATTCTACAATTGATTTTTAACTTTAATAAGTTAAATCTTTATGTTTTACATATAAACTCTGGAATACTGGCAAAAATATAATAAAAAAGTAAATAAAACCATAGAAAATGTTGCTTGCTTCTGTGTTTGGAGTGAAGGTCTGCCATGCTTCTCTTCAATGTAGTGTTTTTTTGTTTGTTTGTTTGTTTAATAATTACTACATGCAGAGCTTTACTGCCATTTGATTGGATGAAAAATGTCCAATATCATGGACTGCAGGCTTTAAACTAGGCGAAATGCTCCAGAAGTAAAAAAAAAAAAAAAAAAAAAAAAAAAAGGCTGACACGTGATGAAAAAGCCTTTTACAACATTCTCAGAAAGCCTGTATATGGACCCAAAGGACGGGGAAGGGTAGCAACAACAAAAACAGGACCATAAACAGGAACATTTTCTTTGTGTAACTACCTTTTGTCGATATTCATTTCATATTAATAAAGAATGCTTTTAGCTCTCTTTAAATAGTTTATATCTTTGACCATGACATTGAATCTGACTTCTTTTGTAATATAACTTTTTTTATCACTGTATTCCTGTTTGGATTAGTTTGCCCATGCTTGTAATTCAAACCCACAGGTGAGCTGTTTTCAATTTCATTTGGTTAGTAGGCATACAAGTCATGTTAGAATGAGCTTTGTGAAGCATTCTGAATGTGTATAAAGCATATTTTCTGCTCTTATATGAAGAAATTTGTGCAGTTAGTCCACACGAAAATGAACACATAAAGAACACAGAAGATTTTCAATGAAAGGAATGAAAATGAAGCTGTGAGGGATAGTGTAGTTTAACAATGCCATTATTCAGCTGTTGAAAGATCTTTCCAAAAACCTTTCACAAGACAGAAACTCTGTAAAACATTTTTTTTTAAATGGTCAAGGGTGAAAATTACATGTGATCCAGTAACTGAATCAAGCGCATACCATTGAAACAATTATAAGACTGTACTTGAACCAACTGACTTACAATTTATGGACAAAAAAAACCCTGAGAATTTAAAAAAAAAAAAAAAAAAGCTCTATAGATGAAAAGAAAAGTCTTACCGGTTAAGAACAACATGAGGGTGAGAAATTGCAGTGAATTTACTGTATATTGTATTGATTTTTTCATTAATTTAAGTTGTAGTCCTTTGTTTGTGATTTTTTCATTTTTCATTTATATTTCTTTAGCTTTAATTCATTTTTATTTCAGTTTTAGTAGTAATTAATTTCAGTTAGGCTACATGTAAAAATTATATGATCAATAAGTTATGACAAAATATGTTTTTAGATTGCTTTAACTCATCAAAATAAGTTAGTTAAAAAATAAACAAAATAAATTAAGTCAGTTTAATGTAGTTTAAGTTAAAATAGTTTTAGTTCAAAATAACAATAACTGCATTTTTTTTTGACTCGTCAACTTCCACTTGACTGTTTTTAGTGTTTGGAAACTTATCCACTAATCAGGATAAGTTGGCGTAGGCCACTAATCAATTTGTGATTACTTTTCACTTCTGCATCAAATTATATCAAGTTTGCAAATTACTTATAGACGTTAATTAAAGATCTCATTAGAATGCTCAATAAAAGCGAAATAGTTCCCTTTAAAGATTAAGATAAATTCTGTGCCGTCATTCTTCTGTGGCCCATATTGAATTGGTTTTCTCAATGCTGTTTAAATTAATCAGTTCTTTATTCCAATTAGATGCTCCAGCGTCTTTTTGTTCTCTTACTCTTTGTCTTTGGGCCTGTGGTGTAGAATTGTGCTGCTTTATTGTTTGACCTGTGTGACCTCCAAGAAAATAACCCAACAACAGAGGTCTATCACAAGCACTGCTGATTTCGAGAAAGAGAAAAAATGCACAAATGTTTGTGGTCACCTTATTCTGATATGGACAGTCCCCTCTATTGTAAGAAAACATCAGTTGATGTGAAAAAAGAAAGCAGCATTATAAGGTGAATACCAGTTATTACACTCACAGTCTTGTTGAGCCGAGTGGCCTTTGGGAGTGACGGCTTGTGATTTCAGACGTGTCTGTTGAAATGTCAGGGCACTTCACATTTCCGCCCCGCTTCCTTTAGCAGGCCACCACCTCATCTTGCAGACAGGACAGTGTTCACATTTCCTCCGCTGGCCTGCCCTGCTCTGCTGTAATGGGCTGTGTCCACTGCTCCTGAACCTGCTTGATGGATGAGGTTTAACATACAGTAG